CTGATGATGCCGGCGAAACGTCTGAGAATGTATCAAGTCCACGGTCAGATGCTGGGAATCAAGACAACTATTATGGCAGACGAATTCGGACTCGGTACGTTCTACATGGTCTCCCTGACAACAAGACCAAGTTGCGACAACGAGGTCAACCCACTTCAATTTGTTTAACTGCGCTCCACTATTTTCCTGACCCTTCCTCAAGCATATAAACGTCAATTTTGGTTACCAATCCCGATTTGTGATTAGGGAGAACCATTGGTCGATCTTTATTTTGGACCTTGCTACTTGGTCACCCAAAGGCGAAGTGGAGTAAACATTTGCTTCTTATTTACCGAATTAGTGAGCTTCAAATATATGAGCGGATCTAGCCTATGAATCCGAACCACTGTAAGTCATTTAAGGTTAAACAAGGACTGATTTTTGAGTTTCCAACACTGTACTTAGTATGAGGTTTAGCCTTGCCAACCAAAAGACAGTTTCATCAAGCGAGTAGAGTTATTGGGAGTTCATCTATCATCTTAAGCGACCCAAGATGGCTCAAGTTCTTATTCACCAACAAATTATATTTAGGCAGCCTACTCATTTGGTTAATAGTAATATAGTCTATTTAAATGACTAATACAAGTTCGCAAACTTAGTTGACTCAGGCTCTTACGTGTTTCTTAGCACAGTATTTTCCATGCCCAATCTGAAACTCACTGGGGCTTGGCTGTAGTTCGACCACTTTTTTAGTCTTGTGACGTATGGCACACTGGAAACATGCCACAAAAGCAGGTTCTCATCTCAATTCTTTGCGGACGGGCAAAGTTCCCCTTGACAATCGGTATAGCTTCACTCTAAAACTGGGCATTTTCCACATCACCATAATGAAATTGAGACGAGTGCATTCGAAAGAGTTCATGTAGGCGTCTATGTGTGTATCTCGACTTGTGGGTGTGCCACCAAGTGGGCATGTAGGCTATTGTGCTTATGCATCCGTCTAATTTGGGACATTTGGTGGAGGTGAACCAGACTCATGGTGAGCCGTCTGCGAGGCGGAATATGAAGAGGGGGACAACGATCCAATTTGCAAGGACCAGACCAGCCTTGTGTGGATAACAGGTCGGCCTGCCCCCACGTCGACTCGTACCAGTCCCATCTGCCCTCCGTCCCGTCACAGAGACCGCCCGCCTCACAAGCTCCATGTCCACTTGGCCTCCTTAACCGGTTAGGACGGTGCCTGCCAACTTGGCCTGTTCTCAGGAGGCAATTTCGTTTCTATGCTTATTCATGTCTTGGATTATACACAGATACAGACACAGACACACACTCAGAGGCTGATGTTGAGGCTCTGCCAGCCTTGATTTTCTCAAGTATATATTCATAATATTGCCACATTGTTTATCTGTGCCCACGAAGATTAATTTAACTTTGTTCTACCTAATTATGCGGCTTTTGCGACCCGCATAAAAACAGTCATTCGTCACTATGCCCTTACGCCTTGCTGCTTAGCGGTCCCAAATCATTGACCGGCCGAGTAGTTACGCAATTGCCCAGCCTCTCCACTCTGTACCACTTTGCCAGTCTCAAGACTCCTCCTTCCACATCAGCCTCACCGACCTCGGCCTGAATGACTGACTTGTCTCGGCCATTTTTGCCTCGGTGCCCAGGCGCGGGGGGATCCTACAAGTAAATGGACAAATAACTAAGTCACTGATCTGCTCTGCCACGTCTGCTGTACCCCGGACTGGGTAGGACGTTGCAGCTAGAAGCAGAAATGCACACACACACACACACACACACATACACACACAAAACTGCAAGAGACTTTCTGCTTTTTATCTTCATCATCTGCGTGCCCAACCTCTTCTGTCTGTCCAATTACCAAGTTCTCTAAAAGTAATGAATAACTTGTTCTCATGATTAGTCTTCTGCTGCAATGACCAACTTGTCTTGTTGAGCGCCTTCCGTTCTTCAGCCTGATTGAATGTCGTTTATGCTGGGTAGGGAACGCAGAAACGCTATAGGAATATGTGAATGAAATGGGGGCGTCTTCTCAACCGCACAACTGCAGTACAAGTCCTCAGACAATCAATTAAGTGCCTTATGTACACTTGTGGCTGCCTCCATCCATCCATTCATCCATGCACCCATCCATCTATCCATCCATATGTCCGTTTATCTACCATGCCAACATCCCTCGGTTCATCTGCCTACCTACTCAAAGGTGTGTATACACCCGTCGAGTGGGTGCCAGCAGATACTCGTCCCTGTCTATACTCTATTTTTTGCGCCTATCCTCTTCAACCCCTCTCATTGTTTTCACATCGGCCTACACGTATAATTACCGCATTCTGGATAGGGTATCCAGATGTATCAGGCTCACCTCACGCTCGTCTGCCCGACGACCGATTCAGTGTCCCATCTATCCTTCACGTGTGCATTCGACTGAGACGACATATAATCACAAAAATTCAATACAAATTATGTTATCGACAAGATGTCATTAGGGTCCAAATGTAAGGCTGACCGAATGACTGTAAATCTCGCCCCATCGATGGTGAGAAAGAGGCTGGGCAGATGAGCGGATGAGCAGTTGAGCAGATGAACAAATTAGCCGAGAGTGACCAGACCGAAGCAAGGCCGGGCAAACTGTGGGCGAACTAAATGAACGGAGATGTGGAAAGATCTCCCAGAGGAGGCTAACCGCGAAAAGGGTTGATTCCTGAACAAGTGTGGGCATCTTGAACAATCTAGGGTGGCATGGCTGCCATAGCTATCAGCTAGGAAGAATTGGATAAGTTGCCATGATAATCGCACCCTTTTCTGCGAAAAAGGATACAAATTTCGTTTAAGGTGATGAAGGATTGGTAGTTGAATTGTATAGTCTTGCTTTCTCGAAAGGTGTTCTCATTCAGGGCGGACTTCAGTTTCAACCTCGTCTAGGTCGCATCACCACCCTCAGTGGGACTCGAACCATGACAGTGCAGCGTATAATCTCGACACGTTAACCACTACGCCCCATTGGGTCACAGGACAGAGGTGAATTTCAAGGAAAACCAGGCAATTTCCCATGTCACATTCTCCGGTGGGATTGTCGATAAGGCAAATTTCTATTTGCTATAGCAATCGACGACATAACTTATTTATCGTTTAGAGTAGATTTTCGGGACTACCAACAAATCAGATATGCTGGCTGTTTTCACCATATTTCGTTAAAGGTGATGATGGGCTCATAGTCGGAGTTTTCCACAATGATTGAATAGACATGACGTTTTCACCCTGGATGGGAATATATGAAATTCAGTGAAAACGTAATGTTCACTCAAATTATTATGAGAAAATTCAACCACCATTCCGTCATCACCACCGTAACTCATAGACCTGATCTACTCGAAACGAAAGAGCATGCAAAAATGGAGGCAAGTGAGGAACAAAAGAATAAAGTAGACACACACATATACGCATACTTGGCCTGATCCAGATGGAGAAAGTGCGTTTCAAATTCACACAATATTGGCCCTTGTCCTGAGAAAGAGACTTCCAATCCGGGACTATCAACAACGAGGACCAGGCCCAGCATCAACGTGCAGCTCGCAAAGGTAATACGAAATTTCCTGTCAGAGTCTTGTTGAGTTAAATGGGCACGAAAACTTTCTTCAGCAACGGTATTCCTACTTTGTTTCTTCGCCAAAATTCTCCAATTCGAGTCTTCTAAATCCAAGCAACCCTCCCAGCCTCTTCGGCAGATGGATCCAAATACCCTTCAATTAACCTCAGTCCTGACAACTGCTACATCCCTTGCTTCTCTTGCCATTGTGTCCCTTATACAAATAGATTGCTTCCATGACTCAATCTGTGGAACTCGTAAAATTGTCGACTGGTGTAGGACCTTAAAGAGAAGCTGGTTTAGAATTCTGCATAAGGATCGAGACTATTTTGTTCTTCTAGAGTAGTCTCACATCCTCTTTTTAGAACAGGTTGCAATAGGATTTGTGTTAATGCGGCGATTTCTATGGGGAGCAGATTTGCCGAGTCCTTTAGAATAGGGTGTCTGAACACAACACTTGCAAATAATTATATTTCCAGATATTACGAATAACTTCAGATACGGCCACACCAGATAGTATGGACTAAAACTCAGCGTCATCAAAAATTAACATGGAAACCGACATCTTGAATGGAAGGAATGAATGTAGGAAATTAGGCAGCGAGAAAAAGAG